CTTTTTGCTTTTCTTTTTTTTATTTTATTAGAAAATATGCTTTTGTGTGAAATACTAGATAATTAAAACATTCGCATTTCTGAATGCTGAAATCCTACTTAAAGACGGTTAAATGAAGATTAAAAGGTTAATTGTCAGATGACAAAAATGTGGGCTTGAAAAGCCTGGCTGGGATTTTTTTTTATGCAAGACAATACAAATAATAAACCTTTCAGTGTTGAATGAACCTCAGTTCAGTGGGATTTCTATTCAATTAAATGTCACAACACTACCCGATAGAAGATGGTAACATTAATCATTTCAGGCATGTAAGTGCAAACCGGTTTTCTTTATTTTATATGTGAATCACTTTTCCCAGTTGTAAATTTCTTTTATCACTCTCTCCTTCCTCCCTCCCATCTATCTTTTCTCAAGGGATGTTTCACTAAACAATGATGGCTCTTCCAATGTGCACGTAGCATATTTCAGACACAAATTACAAGCCATGAGAAACCTAATTTAATTTCTAAGGATTGCTTTTCTACATGTACTAGAAAATTGAAATTTGAAAACTGAAACAATGTACTGATGCATCAGAGAGGTTGACTTTGATAAACCAAACAACTTGAAAGCATGATGTCTACATATTCAGGCACTCAAAATATCACAGTGAAACAGTATATTTATAAAATTTCCCGACTGAATAGCATAAACGGCGATGTAAACAGGGAGTTTTATGCAATTGTATTTATTTGTGTGTGTATGTGTGTGTGTATGTATGTATGTATATATATATATATATATATATATTTTCCTGGTTTCACATGTATGTATATATATCCCAAATAATTATATATTTGCGATATATATACATACACACATATGAAGCCAAGAAGATTTGTATGTATGTGTGTGTGTGTATATATATATATATATATATATATATATATATATATATATATATATATATTTGGGAGTCCAGGCCAACTCTCTTGGTTTCACTCTCCTCATGATCACAGGTGCCTCACACCAGAGCCCTATTTAACCTTGCACTGCATAGAGCCCGAGGAGGATGGATTTCCCAAGTAAGTGGTTTAATCTCAAAAGAACAGGCATTAGGTTGCTCGCATATGACCGGCCAAAAATGTATGATCATAAATGGTAACTAAATTCCCATAATTTTTTCCTGTCAAAATCTATTAAATGTTGTGAACTTTTAAAGTGTAAGTGCATTGGATACTGTATACCAATCTAGTTTACTGGAACAATCCAGACTGGAATTAACCCTTTTAAATGTATTATAGTTGAATACATTAAAGAAAAAAAATATGGAAAACTTTGTTTTTGCAACATTGATTTTAATTTTTATGTGTTTTATATTTACATTCATGCGATATCTGAGGAAGTCAATGCAACTTGACGAAACCCGTAGGACCATTTTGTTGCTATTTACATACTACTGGAATAAATATTTTTATTTACACTGGTGTCCCTTGAGTGTTCCTGGGGAGAACTCAAATGGAGAAAGAATGCTGACATTCACTGAGAAAACCCTGAGTAGTTTGAAGGCATTTAATACTACCATTTCTTGGTTATTTTGCTATATAAAAATGAAAATGAAAAATAAAAATATTCCATTTTATTAATGTTCCTTATTTCCTGTTAATTTTTAGTCAGTCATGATACTCTCATTGTTTTCAATGAGATCACTGTGCAAATCCAACAAATCACAGGGCAAGAGAGGAATATGGGTAATATTGCCAGTTCATAACTTTCAATATACAGTAGACACAGCAACAATGCATTTTATTTATTTTAGAAAAACATTCTAGCATTAATGATTAGAATTAATCGTTTAACGCCCACACAATGGCCTATGCAGACACGTAGGGCCGACTTTAGCACCCATTGACAGCAGCTTTAAATCTAAATTGTTACCAAGGAACCCCAGATAATATTAGAAACCTGAATGTCCCCTTTGTCAGCTGGGGACACAATTAGTTTTCTTTAGTTGCACTTTTTGTGCAGAAATTATCAAATGCAAAACCCAGAAGAATTATTATTATTATTTTTTTTTTAAATGGTAAGCCCTGTTTCTGCTTTATAAAATTATACATCATATGTTTGGGGGCACTTAAACAGAAAGGATATAATTGTGGTGGTATGAATGCATGACAAAAATGCCAAAAGTTTTTGAACATGAATGTGTCACATCTCAAAAGAGCCCTGGTCATTAAGGTGTTAAGATAAACAGAAACCGTGTTTTACAGTAAATCTGATCTTTGGTCTAACATACACAATTTTGATTTTTTGTAATGTATCAATTAAATTATAAGCATATCAGTATCTAAAATTTTTATTTTTACATAACATTTTCAGATGTCTCATTTTAGAAGCCCGTCAATTTAAAATACTCATATTGCTCCAACATGCATTGACATAAGTCATAAAAACATACCTCTAAAGTGCTTCAGACAATGCATATACTGGAATTTAGTGGTAAACACACCGGGAAATGATACCATAGATCAAAGTAACATAATAGCATTATTTTCCTTGATTTTGCAAAGGCCTTTGACACAGCAGACCACGACATTCTACTGCACAAACTCAAAAACTCAGGTATTGGTGATTGTTCATTAACCTGGTTTCGATTGTATGTATCAGATAGCTTGCAAAATGTGTCCATTTCTGACAGTGACTCCCTCCCTCTCCTAGTCACGTGTGATGTTCCCCAAGGTTCCATTCTCGACCCCCTACTATTTACATTATTTATAAATGATCTGTCTAATGTCTGCAAATCCTCAAATGTACACATGTACGCAGATGACACAGTAATCTATGCTAGCAAATCCGATCTACCGCAGGCTGTGCTCCAAGACCAGTTTACAGAGGTAGAAAAGTGGATTGCAAAAAACAAACTCTTCCTAAACACTGACAAAACTGTCACAATGAATTTTGGAACATTACCAAAATTACACAATTCCCACCTATCCATCAAAACAAATTCAAATATCACACTGACCGCACTCCACTCTTTCAAATACCTGGGTATGTTGTTAGACCCCAATCTATCTTTTGGCCCCCACATAGAAAAACTTGCATCTAAACTTTATCCAAAACTAGAAACAAATCCTGCTTAAGCCCTACAGTAAAGGAAAAGATTGTACAGCAAACGCTGATGCCAGTCTTTGATCATGGGGATGTAGCATATGCATCTGCACCACAATCCTACATCTGCGGGGCATCCTCAAACAGAAGGTGGGCTCTAACCTCCACCAGCTCTGTGATGTCATCATGGAGGAGTAGAAGAAGACTCCAGTGGCAACCTGTGAAGCTCTGGTGAACTCCATGCACATAAGGGTTAAAGCAGTGCTGGAACATAATGGTGGCCACACAAAATATTGACACTTTGGGCCCAATTTGGACATTTCCACTTATGGGTGTACTCACTTTTGTTGCCAACAGTTTAGACATTAATAGCTGTGTTGAGTTATTTTGAGGGGACAGCATATTTACACTGTTATACAGGCTGTACAATTTTACATTGTAGCAGAGTGTCATTTCGTCAGTGCTGTCACATGAAAAGATATAATACAATATTTACAAAAATGTGAGGGGTGTACTTACTTTTGTGAAATACTGTAGTTTAAATATATACACCAGGTTAACTTTACTATGTAATGCAACAGTCAACTATGAATTATTTCCTCCCTCATGATAAGCATTTTCATCAGAGTCAGCATGTTTCTCTTGTTGGCTTATTAATGACTAGTAATCCAAATCCCCACATCTATATAGGCTTAACATTTCTTTCTTTATTTTTTTATTTGTTTAACCTAACATTTATTTCAATTAGAAATGTATAGTTTTAAATAGATCTTTACTATACCTTGATCATTCCCTGAGACAATTGAATATACTATAGTCTGGTTCAATGCAGCAGCAGTTACAACAGTCACGGCAGTCCCAAATGGAGCAGCTTCACTCACAGGAGAGGGCCTAAAAATAAATTATAGAACACATTATAATCTATAAACTATTATAAAAAGAGGAATGTGAAATATGTTTTTGGATTAATGCAATTACTGTATTTTAAAAAGAAATACATTTTTCATCATTTAAACTGTGAAAATGTTTAATGAAATAGCAGCATTTCCAATTTTAGCAAATAAAAAGTAATTTAATTGTGCAACATTGTGAAGTCAAACATGCTGTTTGTTTTGTTAAATGCAGAGCAACTTAGAATTCAATGCAAATTAATAGATTCTTAATGCCACAATTCTGTAGTCTGATACTACTGCTTCTAGACGAATTTCACCAGTACATAAATACTTAACAGCGCTCTATCTAAATTTTGTCCCTTCTACCATGAATACAATTCTTATGCTAAACAATTCTCATTAGCTTCTATAAGCTTATTTTTCTCTATTTACATTTTATTGGAGGGCTATGTGTAGAAGCTTGGTAGATCTAGGATAAAGTTTGCCAAATGTATCTTGCCTAAGGCTTCTGGAAAAGTGTATATCCCGTCTTTCCTGAAATATCATTAGGCAATCCATCTTGCTTGGATAGTGGACTGGCACAATAGTAATAATCAGAAACTCTGTCAGACCCTCTGGTCACTCTATATTGGCCTCAGTCTGCTTAGTTATGAAGAATGTTCTGGCAGCAGTATATAGCCACACTTTTATTGCATGGCACTCTGACCTGTACTGATAATTAGATTTGTGCATTTGGTTTGGCGATAGTCCACATATTTTCTTCTGAGTTCCACAACTATGAAATGTGATATGGGCATATCACGAAACAAATAAAGTGGGCAATGACAGTGCCATACATACTGGGGTCACAGGGGTCGTGGCTGCGACCGGGCCCAGCCCACCATTGGCCCGGCCACCCTACGACCCGGTATGTACCCACTGTGGCCAGCCTCTTCTCCTGGGGGGCCCAGGAGTTGACCACCTCAGGGCCCCCCAAGGCTGGCCCTGGTATCACCGGGCAGGTAGGCAGGCTGGCGGGCGTGCAAGGGAGCACTCTTCCCCTGTGTGCTCCCTCTTCAGCTCCCTCGCGCACTGCACTGATACTGGAGCCGTCATCTTCCGGCTCCTGCATCAGTACGTGGTGCGCGAGGGAGATGAAAAGGGTGCACACGGGGGAGAGTGCTCCCTCCTGCGCCCGCCAGCCTGCCTGCCTGGTGACCGGCCGCCCAGGAGCCCAGCAGCATCACTGGACCCCAGGGAATCCGCTCAGCACTCCCAAAGGTAAGGAGGCTAGAGGATTAAATTTTTAAAAAAATGTGTGTGTGTGTTAGTGTGTGTGTTAGTGTGTGTGTTAGTGTGTGTGTCTGTTATTGAGTGTGTGTCTGCTAGTGAGTGTCAGTGAGTGTGTTACTGTGTGTCTGTTAGTGAGTCTGTTTGATGTCTGTTAGTGAGTGTGTTTGTCAGTGAGAGTGTATGTTTTGCAAGTGAGTGTGTATGTATGTCTGTCGCTGAGTGTGTCTATGTCAGTAAATGTGTGTGTCTGTTAGCTAGTGTGTATGCGTCTGTTTGTGAGAGTGTGTGTCTTCAGCACTTACCTTTCCCTCCACCTCTCAGCTCCGAATGCGCATGTGCGGCAAGAGCCGCGCGCACATTCAAACTGCCCATAGGAACACATTACTCAATGCTTTCCTATGGACGTTCAGTGTCTTAGAATCGCGGAAGCTCCTCCAGCGGCTGTCAATGAGACAGCCACTAGAGGCTGGATTAACCCTCAGTGAAACATAACAGTTTCTCTGAAACTGCTATGTTTTCAGCTGCAGGGTTAAAACTAGAGGGACCTGGCACCCAGACCACTTCATTGAGCTGATGTGATCTGGGTGTCTGTAGTGGTCCTTTAAGTGTGTGTGCATCTGCATGCACTAGCGTATATACCGTGGTCGCAGGGGTTGCAGCCCTCCAAACCCTGCGACCAGGTGCCCGCCGTCATGTGTTGCGGCCCCGGCCCGCGCAGAGTAAGCACGGGGGGGGCCCCACGGATCAATTTTCACACCGGAGCCCCATGTGTACGCCACTGGCAATGGACAAACTTTCTTGTTTCATGACATAAAGTTCAGTTTAAGGCTCCAGTAGTAGGGGGGAGAGAATGGAGAAAAAGATTATTTCTTGAGGGGTTGCTGAGTAAATAAGCACTTTAGTTGTCTGTCCAATGGTATAGGTTGTAGCCTCTGTCCCATTTAGAAGTTAAAAAAAAATGAATAACAGAATACATCCACTAAATGAAGACGAAGCAACCAAGAGATGGGGAAAAAGAGAAGTAAAAAAAATCTTTATGTAACCAATCAGACCAGCAGAGAGATTGCCTACTGTAACCCTTGTTGTGCCTGTATGGGAGTGGTAGACTGTGTCATTGATTATAGTGGTAGACTGGTGAAGTGGCAATGTTGCTGCTGTCCCTAGCCACTGCCACTTACACCAACTTTAAATAATTGATTTAATGGTTTTAGTGATGATGCATGTGCTTTTTCAAATTGTAATATAGTGTGGTAGTTTACTGCACAAGTGAAAATTGTCTGCGCTGAGAGTGAGAGTTTTTTTTAACTCTATGTAGAAAGTAAATTATTTTCGTTTTTTTTTTTTAGTTTTTTTTTCAATCCAGCATGTTGCAGCAGCAATAGTAATGTTCCAGGCATGGTTCAGCAGCATTTAACATAAGTCTTTTTTGTTTGTTTATGAGAGACATTTGATTTTCATTTGCACTTTGATTTAGTGCTACTGCTTGTGCATTGCAAATTAAAGTCAAACACAGTAATGTTACAGGAGTAGTAAATCCACCAAGCTGCAACCTATTTTTTAAACATAAACAAAGGACAGGGTAATAACGAATATGTGCACAGTGTGGAAGACAATTAATGTGAAACTCTATACACCTCAAAGTGGTGTCCCCTTTACCACTTAAAAATCAACAATATACATACATAAATCAGGTGGAGCTTCTTAAAATAACAGTATAACAGATATTCTGTAAAATAAAATATAGACCATAGTGCAATACAGTAGTAAAAGTTAAATAAAAAATGTATATACAGTAGGTTATCCACTCACAAGCCTGGAGTCATAATCTCATATGACTCGGATGGTGTGTGCCTTTGGACCATTTCAGGATGTCCAAGATCCTTTTTCCTTGCAGGACTCTGTTGGTGGCCACTCACAGACAGAAAATGTCAGGTCAGCAATAGATTTCCACAAAATTTTATTCCAAATTAAAATAAAAGAATTATTGGATTAAAAATAAATAAAAGCTTAAGTAGGGCTATATAGTCCTTTAAAATCCTTTGAAATCGCCAAAACGCGTTTCGCCTGATACAACAGGCTTCCTCAGTCGGCTTAGTTATCCCCTGCTTAGTCTCTCCAATTTTAAAAAGTCAGCTTATTTTCACTTCCGGGTTCCGGTTTCTGTCTCTATGGAACGCAAGTATGCGTTCCAGTGACGTCGCTTCCGGTTTCGTCACTTCCGGTTCCTTTCTTCATCAATATGGAACGCATTGGTTCCTCTTACATCTCTTCCGCATTTCGGTCTCAATCAGTTGGAACGCACAATGCGTTCCACTGACGTCATCTTTCGGCATCTCCACCATTCTCAAATAAACTGTGTAATTTTCAGCAAATGCACATGTTCATCACCAATTTTATCTATGTATTAACACCAGAAATCTACTCTGCATATGTATACATATCTACCAATAAACTTCACATGTACATATAAAGTTACTGCTTTATATACTGTAAAAATGCCATACAAAAATAATTAACCTTATCAATAATATAACTGTTAGAAATACCTATACAATATACAAAACATATGTCTAAAAGTGTTCTTACAAGAAGAGCATGATATAAATATTTCTAAATACTCTTACATTGTGTGAGTGATGTGAACTTTAAAGTGATCTTGTACCTTAAAGTGCTCTTATATATTTTTCTTTAAAATGCTCTTGTAGTGTTTTTTTAAAAATAATGTTCAAGTTATACCATTTCAAAAACTAAAAAATATAGTAGTAAAAATGGTGTCTTTCCTAAAAATATTTATACTACAAACTGCTAAAATATATTAAAAAACTATGTAATGGACAGGAATTTTATTCTCTTAAAAGTACTAAAATATTAAAGATACTCAATAATCAATAATATAGAGGAGCTTAGTTCATGAAATGGCATAGTTCGAAATCTTGATTTAGACCATGGGGTGCCATAGTGTTGAAACTAAAAATGAATTTCATTTCTTCTATTCCTATTTTTCTAATATAATCTCCTCTCCAGTCTTTAAATTCCTGTCCATTACATAGTTTTTTAATATATTTTAGCAGTTTGTAGTATAAATATTTTTAGGAAAGACACCATTTTTACTACTATATTTTTTAGTTTTTGAAATGGTATAACTTGAACATTATTTTTAAAAAAACACTACAAGAGCATTTTAAAGAAAAATATATAAGAGCACTTTAAGGTACAAGATCACTTTAAAGTTCACATCACTCACACAATGTAAGAGTATTTAGAAATATTTATATCATGCTCTTCTTGTAAGAACACTTTTAGACATATGTTTTGTATATTGTATAGGTATTTCTAACAGTTATATTATTGATAAGGTTAATTATTTTTGTATGGCATTTTTACAGTATATAAAGCAGTAACTTTATATGTACATGTGAAGTTTATTGGTAGATATGTATACATATGCAGAGTAGATTTCTGGTGTTAATACATAGATAAAATTGGTGATGAACATGTGCATTTGCTGAAAATTACACAGTTTATTTGAGAATGGTGGAGATGCCGAAAGAGGACGTCAGTGGAACGCATTGTGCGTTCCAACTGATTGAGACCGAAATGCGGAAGTGATGTAAGAGGAACCAATGCGTTCCATATTGATGAAGAAAGGAACCGGAAGTGACGAAACCGGAAGCGACGTCACTGGAACGCATACTTGCGTTCCATAGAGACAGAAACCAGAACCCGGAAGTGAAAATAAGCGGACTTTTTAAAATTGGAGAGACTAAGCAGGGGATAACTAAGCCGACTGAGGAAGCTTGTTGTATCAGGCGAAACGCGTTTTGGCGATTTCAAAGGATTTTAAAGGACTATATAGCCCTACTTAAGCTTTTATTTATTTTTAATCCAATAATTCTTTTATTTTAATTTGGAATAAAATTTTGTGGAAATCTATTGCTGACCTGACATTTTCTGTCTGTGAGTGGCCACCAACAGAGTCCTGCAAGGAAAAAGGATCTTGGACATCCTGAAATGGTCCAAAGGCACACACCATCCGAGTCATATGAGATTATGACTCCAGGCTTGTGAGTGGATAACCTACTGTATATACATTTTTAATTTAACTTTTACTACTGTATTGCACTATGGTCTATATTTTATTTTACAGAATATCTGTTATACTGTTATTTTAAGAAGCTCCACCTGATTTATGTATGTATATAAAGGACAGGGTAAAACTATTTCTAAATCCAGGAGGAGCAGGAAATTGATTACAAAAATGTGACGCAGAATAAACTGAACCATACACTAAGTGCAAATCATACAAACATGTATCAAATACACCAAAATAATAAAATAAATAGAAAACCCGCAACAAATTAATAAATAGAAAATACACAAAAAATAAACTGTAATTGTCCCAGAATAAAGCAGTCTCTGTATATAAAGCCAAATCAGTGGATACACAAGAATGTAGTAAACAGTGTATCAAAGTACCAAAAGAAATAGAAACTTCTGGCCAAAACCACGGTTTGCTGGTAATATAGTACTACATCAGCAGTCAATATATGAAAGTACAGAAAATATCTTCCACTGAAATCAGTCACCTTAACCCCTTAAGGACACAACATGTCTGACATGTCCTGATTCCCTTTTATTCCAGAAGTTTGGTCCTTAAAGGGTTAAACCATTACAGTGGTGGTCATACAATGAAAATATGCCTTTCATTGTAGTGGTTTTACCCTGTCGGGACATGGTTATGCCTGCTACCTCTGCATATGCAACCTTCAAATTCAACTCTCTTCCTAAATTAAAAAAAAATCAAAAACCTCTGCAGATGCAGTTTGTATAATGTGTTAGGGTACTGTTTTTCTCCTCGCTGACAAAAGGTCAGTCATGCTGCAGACTGGATGTGAAGAGAGG